TAATTACCTAATGTACTTTTCGCGTTGGCTTTGTTGAAAAGCTCTCTGGATAACATTAATTAGTAGTAGGTAACTGTAGATGAATGTAGCGACTGCTTCTTAAATTATTTTCTATGGCTAAATTGTAAATTCGAATTGTTTCAAATCTGAAAATATGAAATAATATTTAAAAAAGTTTAAAAATGCTAAAATCTAGGCCAGTAAATGTAGTCAGCACCTTTTGAAAGCGGAGTCTCTAGAATTCCCCGTTCTCACCCCAATGCCGTCCTTGATTTTGGGTTCTTTAAAAACATAAATGACATTGAAAGCCAGTATGCCACGTCAAACCCGCAAAACGAACATTTTCCAAAGAAAAAAATTAATTACCTGATGTGCTTTTCGCGTCGACTTTGTTAAGACGTCTCACCGGAAGTCAATAATTTTCTAGTAAGTAACTAAAAATGAATGTAGTGACTGCTCCGCAAATTATTTTCTATTTCTAAATTATCATCTCGTATTGTTTGGAATCTGAAAAAAAACTAAATAAAATTTTAGAAGTTTAAAAACAGTAACATAAAAATCCTTGCTAGGTCAGTAAATGTAGTCAGCAGCAGTTGAAAACGGAGTCTTTAGAACTGCTCGTTCTCACCCTAGTGTTGTCCTTAATTTTGGGTTCCATAAAAACATAATTGACATTGAAAGCCAGTATGCCTTGTCAAACCCGCAAACGAACATTTACCAAAGAAAAAAATTAATTACCTGATGAACGTTTCGCGTTGACTTTGTTAAGACATCTCACTGGAAATGAATAATTTTCTAGTAGGTAACCAAAAATGAATGTAGTGACTGCCCCGCAAATTATTTTCTATCCGTAAATTATCAATTCGAATTGTTCCAAATCTGAAAATATAAAATAATATTAAAACAAGTTTCAAAACATTAAAATTAAAATCCGTGTTAAGTTGGTAAATGTAGGCAGCACGTTTTAAAAGCGGAGTCACTATAAGAACTTCCCTTTCTGGACCGACTGCCGTTCTTAATTTTGGGTTCTTTAAAAACACAGCTGACATGAAAAGCCAGTATGCGCAAAGTCAGACCCAATAGTGAACAATTACCAAAAAAATTACCTGATATACTTTTCGCGTTGGCTTTCACTGGACATCACTAATTCGCTATTAGGCAACCGTGGATGAACCGGTACCGTAGTGACTGCTCCGTAAAATATTTTCTGTCGCTAAATTATCAGTTCGTACAGTTTCAAATCTGGAAATATAAAATTATTTTAAAAAAAGTTTGAGAATATTAAAATTCGTGCTAGGTCAATAAATGTAGTCAGCACCTTTTGAAAGCGGAGTCTCTAGAACTCCCCGTTCTCACCCTAATGCCGTCCTTGATTTTGGGTTCTTTAAAAACATAAATGACATTCAAAGCCAGTATGCCACTTCAAACCCGCAAAACGAACATTTACCAAAGAAAACAATTAATTACCTGATGTGCTTTGCGCGTCGACTTTGTTAAGACGTCTCACCGGAAATGTAGTGACTGCTCCGCAAATTATTTTCTATCCCTAAATTATCATCTCGTGTTGTTTGGAATCTGAAAAAATAAAAAAAATTTTAGAAGTTTAAAAATAGAAACATAAAAATCCATGCTAGGTCTGTAAATGTAGCCAGCAGCAGTTGAAAACGGAGTCTTTAGAACTTCCTTTCTCACCCTAATGCTGTCCTTAATTTTGGGTTCTTTAAAAACATATCTGACATTGAAAGGCAGGCAGTATGTCACGTCAAACCCGCAAACGAACATTTAGCAAAGAAAAAAATTAATTACCTGATGTGCTTTTCGCGTTGACTTTGTTAAGACGTCTCACCGGAAATCAATAATTTTCTAGTAGGTAACCAAAAATGAATGTAGTGACTGCCCCGCAAATTATTTTCTATCCGTAAGTTATCAATTCGTATTGTTCCAAATCTGAAAATATAAAATAATATTAAAATAAGTTTCAAAACATTAAAAAAGTTGGTAAATGTAGGCAGTACCTTTTGAAAGCGGAGTCTCTATAAGAACTTCCCTTTCTGGACCGACTGCCGTTCTTAATTTTGGGTTCTTTAAAAACACAGCTGACATGAAAAGCCAGTATGCGCAAAGTCAGACCCAATAGCGAACAAATACCAAAAAAATTACCTGATATACATTTTGCGTTGGCTTTGTTAAGCTCATTGCACATCACTAATCCGTTAGGCAATCGTGGATAAATCAGTATCGCAGTGACTGCTCCGTAAAATATTTTCTATAGCTAAATTATCGGTTCGTACTGTTTCAAATCTGGAAATATAAAATTATATTAAAAAAAGTTTGGGAATATTAAAATTCGTGCTAGGTCAGCAGTTGAAAACGGAGTCTTTAGAACTTCCCGCTGCCTTTAATTTTGGGTTCTTTAAAAACATAACTGACATTGAGAGTCAGTATGCACCGTCCGACCCGAAAACGAACATTTTCCAAAGAAAAAAATTAATTACCTGATGTGCTTTTCGCGTCGACTTTGTTAAGATGTCTCACCGGAAATCAATAATTTTCTAGTAAGTAACTAAAAATGAATGTAGTAACTGCTCCTCAAATTATTTTCTATTTCTAAGTTATCATCTCGTTTTGTTTGGAATCTGAAAAAAAACTAAATAAAATTTTGGAAGTTTAAAAACAGTAACATAAAAATCCTTGCTAGGTCAGTAAATGTAGTCAGCAGCAGTTGAAAACGGATTCCTTAGAACTTCTCGTTCTCACCCTAGTGTTGTCCTTAATTTTGGGTTCCTTAAAAACATAACTGACATTGAAAGCCAGTATGCCACGTCAAACCCGCGAACGAACATTTACCAAAGAAAAAAATTAATTAACTGATGAACTTTTCGCGTTGACTTTGTTGAAAAGCTCTCTGGATAACATTAATTTTCTAGTAGGTAACCAAAAATGAATGTAGTGACTGCTCCGCAAATTATTTTCTATCCGTAAATTATCATCTCGTGTTTTTTGGAATCTGAAAAAAACCCAATTAAATTTTAACAAGTTTAAGTTTTAAGTTAAGTTATTAAATGTAGGCAGTACCTTTTGAAAGCGGAGTCTCTATAAGAACTTCCGTTTCTGGACCGACTGCCGTTCTTAATTTTGGGTTCTTTAAAAACACAGCTGACATGAGAAGCCAGTATGCGCAAAGTCAGACCCAATAGCGAACAATTACCAAAAAAATTACCTGATATACTTTTCGCGTTGGCTTTCACTGGACATCACTAATTCGTTATTGGGCAACCGTGGATCAACCGGTACCGTAGTGACTGCTCCGTAAAATATTTTCTATCGCGAAATTATCAATTCGTATTGTTTCAAATCTGAAAATTAAAAATTATATTAAAACAAGTTTGAAAACATTAAAACAAAAATCCATGCTAAGTTAGTAAATGTAGTCAGCACCTTTTGAAAACGGAGTCTCTAGAACTTCCCCTTCTCCCCCAATGCCGTCCTTATTTTTGGGTTCTTTAAAAACATAACTGATATTGAAAGCCAGTATGCAACGTCAGACCCGAGAACGAACAATTATCAAACGTATCAAAAAAAAACGTATTACCTGATGTGATGTAGGTAAACCGTAGATGCATGTAGTGATTGTTCCGTAAAATATTTTCTATTGTTAAATTATTTTTTCGTATTTTTTGAAATCTGAGAATATAACATAATATTAAATAATTTTAAAAATATTAAAACAAAAATTCGTGCTAAGTTAGTAAACGCAGGCAGCACCTTTTGAAAGCTGAGTCTCTCCCCTTTTTCAGCCGACTGTCTCTCGTAATTTTCGATTCTTTAAAAACATAGCCGACATTGAGAGCAAGTATGCGAGATCACATCCGAAAATGAATAAATTGATGTACTTTTCCCGTTGGTGTTGTAGAAAATCACCCTGAACTTTACTAATTGGTTGGTATTAGGGATAATTCCTTGGCGTTGTTTTTGACGCACTCTCGACCTTATAGACGATACGCTGAAAATTAATTTTAAATGGCCGGTAAGTTTCAGTGAAATGATAATTTTGGGTGATGGCATGTGTAGGCAAGTTATTCAGAAAGTAAAATATATATATTTACTTCCACGTGCTTTGCTTCGTTTATTTTGGGCTGATAATTAACACTACTGATATCAAAAAACAGCGTGTCAAAATAAAGCCCTGTTATTTGGGTGTAAGAAAAATCACTGGATGCCTACTGCCAGTATGCACTACTAGACCCGAAAACGAAGTTTCCAAAAAAAATTATTACCTTATCTATTTTTTGCGTTGCCATCGTTAAAAAGCTCACTGAAAACAAATAGTTGGCTAGTAGGTAACTATATAAATCAGTATTGTAGTGACTGCTCTGGAAAATATTTCATATCAATAAATTATCTTTTCGTGCTGTTTCCAATCTGAAACTATAAAAATATTATAACAAGTTTAAAAATATTAACATCCATGCTAGTGTATTAAATGTGTGCAGCATTTTGTGAAAGGGCAGTTTTTATAAGAACTACCGTTTCTCAGCCCAGTGCCGCGCTTAATTTTGGGTTCTTCAAAAACATAGCCGACATTAGAAAATCGGTATGCAGTACCAGACCCGAAAACAAACATTTATCAAAAAATTGCCTGATGTACTTTTTGTGTTGACTTTGTTAAAAAACTCACTATCGATTAATCAGTATGGTAGTGACTGTTTGGAAAAATATTTACAATCCCTAAATTGTTGTTTTCAATCTTAAATTATAAAATAATATAACAGATTGAAAAATGTTGAATTTCGTGCTAGTCGAATAAATTTACGCAGCATATCAGTCGACTGCCTCTCTTAATTTTGGGTTTTTTAAAAACATAGCCAACGTTGAGGGCAATTATGCGAGATGAGATCCGAAAACGAATAATTACATATATATAATATATGAACAGTGTATAGATCTAAATTAGTGTATTCTTGCGGGCACACGACAGCAGAATATGATTTTTGTTCTAGGTCCGTAAAAGCATTCCAACAGTTACTATACGTCTCGCCGGGATTCCAAAGGGCAAACGAAGTTCACTTGCGTTTGGGATTGATGTTCAAAGTGACACAGGAATATGAATTAGCCCACAAGCATTTTCTGTTAGCTCTCGTGGATGCAAGTCCCTGCTCAACGCCCAAAAACATTAGTAAGTACCCTCGTACAACCATTTGCCAAAATAAACTCGGAATATTTAAATTGCGAAAAAACAAATTTATCTTAGCCGCCGAATGAGATTAATAGAAACCAGTTCTGGGGATATCATTAAGGTTTTGCAATAGGCGTAATGCAATTCGTTCGCTTTTCAAAGAAACCCGACCTACGCCAACAAAATTTACGTCGACTAGTAGTAACCTTCAAATAATGTCTTTGTCCAGTAACGAATTTGAGCAAAAAGTTTATTTTTTAAACAGGTTGTCGACCTCATCCACTCTCCAAATTAAATAGATAGCTGTGGGGTCCGCAAAGCGTCCTTGAGCGTTACGCTGGGTATCTCCCATTTGGGAATTACTATTATCTTAACAGATTTGGTTGTTTGCGATCGAGTGCTAATAATGCCAGATTGGCTAACCAACGCGTATCCAAAACCTTTGTACTTATTGTAGTGCATTCTTGGTTGTAAATTCCGTATTATCGTTGAAATCATATAAGCATAAAATCACAGCGCTAAACTTACCTTTGAACCGACAATTGCAGATTTGTATTAACGATTTACTTAAAAACTCAAAATTCATCTACTAGTTGGAAAGAATTTCTTGAAAATAGAACGCAAGATTGAGAACTTTCTAGAAAGCAACTTACTTTCGGGATTGTTTTATCGTCTAGGCAAGTTTTACTACAATTAAGATGCGTATCAAACCATATCTAGAGACAAAAAGAACATTCGAGAACAAAACCAATGTTACCACTTCCCGGAAATGTCAATTTGTCTGTCAAATTGTCTATTTGATGTCAATCGGACAACGGCAATGGCAAAATCGCTTTTTTCCTATCTTGAAACGACACTCGTACACATATAGATATAGATATAGATATAGGTGCCCTGCTTATCCTACTAAAACAGTAATTTTTGAAGCCACATATTTTATTTATTTATCGGCCATTTAACATGCGCGTGCGCGGGCATTTGGAGTGTCGCTTTCAACCAATAAGACCTAGCGGCGTTCGACAACAAACATGGCCGCTGACATTCATTAATTTGACAGTTGTCAGTTTGAATTTAGCATTTTTACCGCAGTATTTTCTCAAAATATGCACAGATTTCGTTAAATGTTCTGGGAACGCTAATTAAACACGCTCTTTAGAAAGAAAGTCTAAGTCAAGTATACGTAGGTTATGGATGAAATTTTAGAGGAGGCATGCTCATTCCCATCTCTACGAAAATATCATAGCCGCCCGAAGCTGTTCTATTTTTACGGTACTAGGACCACTATATTTCTAATAGCTAGATGCTTGCACAACATCCAATAATTGTCTTGTATGCTGTGACACTGGTCCGTATTGAAATTGATTGAAATTTTTTTCAGTCAAATTTCACATTGCTCACTTATACGAGATTCAAGGCAAAGTGAAAATTGCCAGAGAAAGATATGAAGCGCTTCTGAAAGAAAAATCAATAACAGTCTCGTTAAAAGCAGAAGTTTTTAGACAACTCGGTTGGCTCTATCACAGTCACGAATCTCTAGGTGAGAAAAACCAACGGATACCATTAGCCATTCAGTACCTTCAAAGAGCTAATGAAGCTGATCAATATTCCAACGGCCAAACACTTTACCTCTTGGGCAGATGCTACGCCAGTATAGGCAAAGTCCATGATGCTTTTATCGCATATAGGAACTCCGTGGAGAAATCTGAGGGAAATGCAGATACTTGGTGTAGCATAGGAGTTCTTTATCAGCAGCAGAACCAGCCGATGGATGCACTTCAGGCCTACATTTGCGCGGTACAGTTGGATAAATGCCATTCAGCTGCCTGGGCCAATCTAGGAATACTTTATGAAAACTCTTTGCAAGCTAGGGATGCTTACGCTTGTTATTTGAATTCTCAACAAGGTTTGAATAGCAAAGGCAATAGTGAAGACGCCATCACCAACAAACTGCCCAAAATTAGCATTACTACCGTGGGAATGAACCCACATTTAACACAGAGGATTAATTTTCTTCAGGCACATCTAGCAAATGCCCCAATGCCTAGTATTACGTCGCAGTGAGTTTATTGATTGACTAATCTATATTCCTACATGTAATAATTATTTTTTTTAGGAGAAGACAGCTGCTTTCTATTGAAGAAGCCTGGAATCTACCAATTTCTGCTGAAATGTCCTCGAGACAGCAGCAACAACAAACGCAACCCTCTCGTACAGGTTCACAGAGTTTTCAAAAGAATTACAGTGCCTCGACACCACAAGGACCTCCTCCGCCTTATCCGTCCCCAAGCGGGGCCCTTAATAAGCAATTTAAAGCAGAACCAGATGCAAAGCTTTCCCCTAATACTTTGCCTCAGCCCAGTTACGCTTTAAATCCGCAACAGATACAGCTACTTAATCATTTTCAACAGAATGTCAATACGCTGACTCAGCAGCAGCAGAATATGATGAAGCAACTACAGCATCAGTATAATATTATGCAACAACAACTGAGGAGTAATCAGAATAGACCTATACCTTCCGCCAATGCAACATCAAGGGGTGGTTTGACACCACCTTACACTTTAGGACAAAATGGATCTCCCATAAATACCACCAAAGGCTGTTCTCCAAGTAGTGGTGAAAAACTACTGCACAGTCAACCAAATATAGTACCATCATTCGTACCAGGACAACAGACCCATGATTTGGACGTGGAAGCAGAGTTGAAAGACTTACTTTCACAAAAAGATCTTGCCACTACGTTAGCTGAAAATTTATTGAAACAATTTGGATCAGACGATATTGATGTTAAAGAAGAAGCTGATTCCACAACACCAATTCCTCATGCAGGTTGGTCCTTCAGCGTTTAGGTATTTATTTGAGAATTATGATCTTACATTTTCAGAAAATGTTAACGCAAATGCAAACACTCTTTCATCCGGTCCATTTTCGCCTTCCATTATTGCACCTAAATTGGAAACTGAAGCAAAGAAACGTCGAATTAAATCACCGGTGCAGGAGAGCATCTTAACTGTCAAATCTGAGCCTCCTTGGGACTTTGAATCTCTCAGATGTTCAGAAAAAAGGCCAAACATTGATTACAACATAGACATGAATGCGGAAACAATAATTCAGCTGTGCAAGTGAGTTATTATGCTTTAATTTCCTTTTACTATAGAAATTCGCAATGACGTTTTACGCAGAAGTGAAGTAGTCAACGGTGACATAAATGGCTCTATAATATCGGACACCGCCCCACCTCCAGCACCACCTGATCCACCCACAGTAAAGCTAACTCACCAACAGCTCATACCAGCGACACCATCTGTCTACTTAGATAATAAAAAGCACGCGTTTAGTCCACAGCTCCAGGAGTTTTGTTTGAAGCATCCAATCGCTGTTGTTAGGGGACTGGCATCTGCTTTAAAGCTTGACCTTGGGTTATTCTCCACAAAAACTCTGGTGGAAGCTAACCCAGATCACAGTGTTGAAGTTAGGACTCAAATTCAACAGCCATCTGATGAGAACTGGGATCCCCAGTCTGGAAAGAAAGTTTGGGCCTGCATTTCCCACAGGTCTCACACAACAATTGCGAGATATGCTCAGTATCAAGCATCAAGCTTTAAAGAAAGTTTGAGGGTATTATATTGCAAAAATCACCCGTTTCGTCAAGGGTGGTGACTTGAACTTTATTTCAGGAGGAGCGGGATAAAACAGCTGCCGGTCTCTCAGATTCTGATTCCAAAGACTCAATGCAATGTGGCGCAAAGCGAAGAAAAATGAATTTTTCTGTCACTCCATCTTCTATCATTAAAAACTGCAAAGAACAGAAAACACTCAAGTAAGTTGCGAAGTAGGTGCGTGGGAAAAATTTTTTACCATCTATGGGTTTCCAGATTTGGTACAAACGTTGATTTATCAGACGAACGCAAATGGAGGCCACAATTACAAGAATTGATGAAACTTCCGGCATTTGCTAGAGTAGTGTCGGCGGCTAATATGCTGTCACATGTCGGTCATGTAATTTTAGGCATGAACACAGTTCAGCTGTACATGAAAGTACCGGGTAGTCGAACACCAGGTCACCAAGAAAACAACAATTTTTGTTCTATTAACATCAACATTGGTCCAGGAGATTGTGAATGGTTTGCTGTTCCTGACGCTTATTGGGGAGCAATTTGCAAGCTTTGCGAGCAGAACCAAATCAATTATCTTCACGGATCATGGTGGCCCGTGTTGGAAGATTTATATAAAGCAAATATTCCCGTCTATAGGTTCCTGCAAAGGCCTGGAGATTTGGTGTGGGTCAATGCCGGATGTGTGCACTGGGTTCAGGCTGTTGGATGGTGCAATAACATTGCTTGGAATGTTGGTCCTCTTACTGCACGACAGTATCAATTGGCCATAGAGAGATATGAATGGAACAAGCTTCAGAGTTTCAAGTCCATTGTGCCAATGCTTCACCTATCATGGAATCTTGCCAGAAATATTAAAGTCTCTGATCGGAAGCTCTTTGACTTAATAAAGTAAGTTTAGATTTCCCGTGGAGCATCGGTTACCACTCCTCATTTGTGTATGCTTTTTTGTAGGAACTGCCTTCTGAGGACTTTAACGAAGTATTGCAGAACTCTAGAATTTGTCAAAACCAGAGGCGTAGAAGTCAAGTTCCATGGAAGGGGAAAAAATGAAGCTTCCCATTATTGTGGGCAATGTGAGGTAGGATTAAGGGCAAAAGTTTTTATTGATTCGGTTTCCAAATGGATAAATCTATTTTCAGATTGAAGTATTCAACATATTGTTTATTCGCGAGCAGGAAAAAAGGCACGTGGTTCATTGCATGGACTGCGCGCGTAAACAATCACCTAATTTGGAAGGTTTTGTATGTTTAGAAGAATACAAGATGCAGGAACTGTGCGACGTTTACAACAATTTCGTGTTGCACAGCAATGTGTCCTCCGCGGATCAGTATAGACTGATGTAGGTACCGGATCTATGGTAAATAGCCGCCACTGCCACTTGTAACTGATGTACAACATTATAAAATAGGTTTTGATTGTTATATATGTGTAAAAAGAAATGAAAAGTGATATTTGTGTAAAGAAATTTAATGTAAATAAAATCCTGTCCATATTCTATTTGAAGGATCGTGTGGTTTTTGATGCCGTTTAGTACATGGTAAGCAGTGATCTCAAATATTTAGTTGACCCAACCTGTATATATATTACAAGAAATTATTTATTTTACCATTGACGTTATACAATTAATTTCTCAGCATTTTATTTTTTCCTTGTTCATAATATTTTCGGTAAATTGGTTTCCCCAAATAATCTGAGAAGGATTTAATGTCCATCATTCATTTTTTTAACGGTAGAAAGGAGGAAATTTACTGTGGATCTCAAAATCCTTGTCATGTTTTTAGGAACTTTTGTGCTGCTTTTAGCTCGCTTGCGAAGACAAACTTCTCAATAGGGATAAAAAAATGTCCACTTAATTGGAGAAATGTACAAGTCGAGTTTATTATAAACTTGTCATTCTTCACATTAGTCTTCACGAAGGGATTTACCAAATCTGCTATACATGATTATATTACAAGGTGCACCATCACTCATGATTTTTAGTTAAAAGTTGGTAAAAAAGAGGTGTAGCTCAAAGCAAATAAATAATTACCACAATGAACAATAAAGGCTCGTTAAGCTTGTAAATTAATATTAGTCAAAAAACTGAAAGCAATTGGAATATTACATAAAAATTTTTTTAGTTCAATACTGCATGGACAGGCAGAATACGAATTAATAACGAAGCAAAAAAAAAATGGAGTGCTTGCCTGAACTATTGAACTATTTCATAAATATTAATATGGAGTTATGGCTTTCCCTTCATTTTTTTACGTAAAACAAAAAATATGACAAGGTCGCACGGAATATGTCACTTCTTAGTTTAACACAAGACTTATTTTGCAATTAAGTCCTCTAATTCCTTTTGAACTGAAAACTTTTCAGTTTAATATATTTTTATATGAAACCGAAAAAACTGCCTTCACATAAATCAAGCAATCAATAATTGTCATCATAGAGGTAGAATACCTATCAAACCGATTTCTCTTTTGTATTAGAGTAAGGTTTGACTTTTGTGGGAGTTTTATCGTAATGCATTTAAAAAGATATATTTTTCCGAAGCGTTTGCGAAAATCTTCAAAAGTGAAAAAATAAGTTGAAGTGTTTATATATAGAATTACACACTGCCATTTTGTGATAATACTGCCGGATAACCAAAATTATGTTACTAGATGGAGCCTGGATTTAACAGTGCCTTCTCCTGTAATCTTCAAAAAGCTCATAATTGACAAAAACCAAAATATATTTCGCATCGGTAACCAAATTAACTTAAACATCATGTAAATATAACCGATTAGATAATCCAGGAAATCTAGCTCAATTTTTCTATGTAATTTGTAATAGGATCTAATGAATTCTATTAAAAAGTGAAACATGTTTTTATCATTATGAAGTCTGATTTTGAATTGTCTTACATAACATTTAATCCCTAATTGTAGGTTGTATTTATATATGCATTAATAAAAGAGTAAGATTGATGGATTGTTTTTATTGTCCCAACCTTTGTGGATCCTTTATTTTTGTTCTAAAATATGAATTTTTCTTACAAAATTGAACCAGGGAGTAATAGGAATGTGGATAACACTGGACCGATTTATTAGATCAAGGTTAGAATGATAAAAATTTCTTAAATAAATTTCTATTTATTAGAAAATTGGTTAACAATATCAAACACAGTTATGATGAAGGTAATTTATATAGCAACCATTTCAGGCAAGTAAATTCATGAAAACTTAAATAGACAAAAGTTATCAAAGTAGCCAATTGATTGTCTGACTATTAATTTAACAGAAATCTTGTATTCCATATAAATAAAGCCTAATTTATAAACCACTCATACAAGAAAATATAGTCGCAAAAAAGTAAATAAAACAAAAGTAATTATTTCAAGTTCAACTTCAGTGTTGACAAGAGAGTTATGTTTCATGGAAAATATGTTTGTTGTGGGATTCATACTAATGAGAAACGCATCAGTCAATATTAATTGATGATAACTGTGTTGTTACACAAAAATGTATAACAATAAACCTAACAAAAGGCGCTAAGCGCTATCACTTCTTCCACGTCTTCTGTTTCTTCATCGAGCTCATATCAGGCCATTTTATTTACAATAGAAGAATGCAATGTACTCAACTGGGTCGCCCATCTCTCCAAGGCATTGTATCTGGCCGTGTTTATGGTGGTCCTCTCCAGAAACAAAACTTGGTTAACCTGGTCTATACGACCTTGAATTGTGCTACAATAACAAAATATATACAGTATTTTTAGGATCTCACTATATTGTATACTTAGATGCTTACTTATCTAATATACAAGCTACTAGAAGACTTTCCACTTCCTGGACATCAATGTTCAGCTCATTTGAAATAAAGGGTATTTGAATTCTAGTGTAGGGTTTAATAAGTTTGATCAGTACTTGAGTCCTAATATTCCTTAACAGATCTAAAATAGACGTTGAGCAACTATTAGAATTCCTAGTTCAGCATGGACTGTAAACAAAGAGCTTTTCTGTACCTTCAATATGTTCTCTAATAAAGGGATCATCCATTATGTTTTGCCTATTTTCTTTCAAAATAATTTCAAATTCATTAATATCATTATTTTGGTATGCATTAACTAAATTTGTCATTGCCAATATTTCTGGATCATTTTTATATGGTTTTGCTTCTTGGGAGTCAAACGGATTTATTCCAGATTTCATCAACCTAAAAAAAAGCTTTTCTCAATGGGAAAAACTTCAATCGACATTAAACTTACATATTGGCTAACACCAAATATTTCAAACATGTTGTTCGCCTTGGACTACCAGACTCATCGTAATTTTTAAAAGCTTCAAAAAAATCCGTATGGGCTTTCTCAAATTCACCCTCCCGCAGATGCATCTTACCACCACACTCTAAAAATTATTTTATATATATATATATTAATTGAGATTGACGACTAAGTACATTTTACCTCTAATAACACCCATTATTAATGGATGGGGAATAGCCGATTTAATGTGCAAGGATTGTTCATACAAGGTCTTAAGTTTTTTGTTATTTTTTTGAGCGGTGTACATTTGTATTTCTAATGCATATATTTCCAGCAATTGGGTTCCTTTCTTCAGGTCATCTTCTCCATCATCAGTCTGGCAGGACTGGTGCAATTGTTTTAATATCTTTGCTAATTTATTGAAGTCCCCTCGGTCATAATATAATTTTCCTAATTTTGTGTTTGTCTTAAACCATAATCTATCATTTTTGGCATCTTTTAATGCTTCTAAAGTAGTTTCATAAAAATTTTGTAACAGTTCCATCTGAAGTAAACAATTCCAATAACATTAAAAAATATATATGTTTGTACAGCGTGTCCAAAATTAAGGTGCACAAAATAAGGATTTTGGCATTTCTTTGTCCCTGCCATAAAATTATGATGAAAAAGAAAATAAAACAAACCCTTACGAATATATTCACTGAGTGACGAGTGATGTGATCATTAGAACTGACAAATATCAAAACACCAAGGGTGGCTAAAATCTACCAAAAAAAAAACTATCTTTCCCAAAACCTGTGACTAAAGTTCCAGAAATGTCTGAAGTAGCTCTCGAACGTGGGTAAAGAGGCTGATGTCTAAAAGAGATATTCTTGACACACGATAATTTGCTTTGTTTTTCAAAGATGCATTTTGGACACACTGTATATTATCCCAATAATAACTTACATTACGAGATGTTGAAATATAATCCAAAATAGAATTAATAGACTTTTCGCTATGGTTTCTAGTGACTGCACTTTTAATATATGTTAACAGTTGTTTGTAACGAACCATCATTTCATCATAATTGGCGAGTTTAAAGTTAATTTTTATCATCTGCTTTAAAGCCTTGAATCCCCATTCTCCCTTCTCACCACCTTCTAGGTCCAGAACCTTTTGAAATGATACTAGAGCAGCTCTTGGCTCTTCCTCTTTAAGGGCTTTACTGTTGTAGTACTGATTTTCTAAATCAACGTCTGGCTCCGAATTACTATCTTCCGAATATTCCTAATAAAATAAATAGGTAATATATAAATCAGTATATCTTAGGTTAGCTCAAGCTATTTGAAAATATTTAAAAACAAATATTATTATACGTACTAAGCCATAATCTTCTTCATCATCACACATAAAATCATCATCAGACATTTTATACAAAAAATTAGAACCCCCCCGTTCTGAACTTTTGCCTTTTAAAAGCACCGAAAGATATACAATAAAAAACTAAACCAAGCCTGACCGAAATGTCACAAACGTCAAACCGTACAATCCATGCTTTAGGAGCCGTTGTCAATGTCAACGGGCTTGCACATGGCGACGCGTGCATCTTAGCCATAAAATTTAAGTAAACATCGAACATTAGAAAACTTCGTAGTTAATCGTTAGATGATTTTTTGTTAACAGTTCAAAGCCCGTGCCTAAGCCCTAGTTTAGTGTTATCAGAAAACACCAGTTTGGCTCATACGTCACATTAGTTTAATATCGTGACGGCCAGTCGCATTAGTTTTTGCAAATTGAGTAAAAATTTTTAGAGGGGCTAATGAATGAAAGTCGAAATTATGTGAGGTTACTGATCAGCATTGTATTTTTACTCCGAAAACAAGTTATTTTTGGATGCCAGCATTGACACCCCCCACCCTCGACCTTCATTTATTACTATGCTATAATGTGCACTCTACCCCCATATTTTAATGTAATGTGACAATAAGGTTTAATAAGACAATGTAAGTTTTAATGATAAATTTTAATTATGAAATACACCTTACAATCATTACTGCCAAAGAACTTGTCAACATATTTGTATTTAAGAAAGTGTTCTTGTGTAGGCAGTGGTTAATAGAACGCTTATGAAACAATTAGCTAAAAGACTTGCAATGGGTGTGACATAATAAACAAAAATGACGGAAGAGACTCCTATACAAATTAATGGTTGCATTCCTAAAGTTGTGAATTCTTGGAGGTCACGATTAACTACATTAAACACTGGACACCGAATTCACCCTTTGGAACCAGTACCAGCGAATAACTGCGAATATATTGTTATTGATTCAAAAATTAGAATTAGGGTTATTCACGTCAGTCCTGAGAATCAGAGGAAATGTTTTACAATCCCTAAAGAATTTTTATCCAAAAGAAGCTCACTTTCTGAAGAATATTGGTTTACTCACAACAAACCATTGCGATCTGCAAATTGCAATTGCTCTTTTAGAAGGTCTCTTAGATATTCGGTCATATCCAATGAACCTGTTCCTTTAAATGAGGCTTTCAAACAAAGGTAAGATTTTATTAATAAAATCAATGAATTAATTTTCATTTAAAAATAATTTCTTGATAAGGAATATTTAATTTAATACCAAAGTTACAGTTTAAGAAATCCTCAATGGCCACCAACAAAAATTAAAGATGTAGAAACGTTTGTGCAACACTTAATTCAAGAGACTTTTTATGAAGCCTTTCAAGAATATTACGCAAGACATAAAGAGAGTGGAGAAGTAAATGCAGCTTATGAGACAACCGAAGCTGACGGAATTGTTACTTTGTTGAAAAAAAAGACACCAGTTACAGAAAAGCCTCAAGGCAATGCAAAGAAGCAATGTGTTCATAAAAGAAAAACCCAGGTGTGTCTTATTTCATTTTAATACCTTCTGCAAATATAGTTACTACCCCCCACCCCCCTTATGATCTCTTAATGTTAATTGCTGTCAGTGCAGCATATTTTCTTATCTTGGTAAAATCAAAGACGTTGTTGAGATATTTATCAGTCATTCTTAACTATTACTCGTCTCAAATATGGACAACTTAGTTCAATGTGTCTAAAAATCTAGAGAAGCTAAATTTACAAAAAATTTATAATTTTTTTTCTTGTAGAAACAGTTAATTTTTATGTTGCATGGGATTGGAGCGTCTGCGGAAATTTGGAGTGCGTTGATTTCAAATTTATCTTCTAAAGGCTTTGAAGTGGCAGCACCAGATATGCTGGGTCATGGTTACAGTTCAGCTCCGAAAAAGTCCAGTTATTATACATTCAAGAATTTGCTTTTGCAATTAATAGAAATTTTTGATTACTATATGGGAAACGACAAGAAACGAAAATGTATTTTAATAGGCCACTCTTATGGGTAATTGTGCTACAGGCTTTCTGGCAAGTAAATGTATGCGTTTTGTAGATGCAGCTTAATAACAGCGCTATATCCTCATCGAGCCTTACAAATATCGCAACTTATCCTCCTCAGTAGTGGAGGACCGACACCATTGGCCCCACCAGCCGGTGTTAATCAAATTTCTCCCTACGGATGCGTACATAATGTCTTTTATCCCTTACTTTATTGTGGATTGAAACGGTGTGTTAACCAACTCTACATTTTGATTATAATTTATCGTTCCTCAATTTCAGGAGTTTTTTTTACTCATCCAGAGGAAAACACTTCACTAATTGTACAAAAGAGTCCGCGGTGCCAAATTATATATTAGATTTTTTTATTAACGGACAAAATTGGCCCGAAGGAGATGCCGCTTTTCATAGGAGAATCATGGCTCCCACTTTGTTGGTGCACGGATTGCAAGATACAAAGATAAACCTAGTGCAAGAGTGCGAAATGGAGAGGGTAAGAGCCGCGTGAGGATAATATTTTCAAAATACAAAGCATGTTTTTTAGACTATTCCTCGAGCTTTTCTGGAGTTGATCCCAAATGCAGGACATTTGTCGATGTTAGAGACACCAGAACAATTAACCCACATGATACTCTGTTTTCTGGATATGTTTAGCTGACAGCTTTGCACCAATTTTTTACAATTATTTTACCAAATATAACCCATATTCATTCTTACTATTTGATTGATTTCAAAATAATAAAATTATTCTAAATGAAATTAGTTGTAAAATAGTACTGGACTGTGATGTAATGTCAAAATTTCCTTACTATTACATTTTTAGACTGAATTGTCGTAAGTTTATATTAGATTTAAGAGTGTTGCGTCATTGTTTTTATTTGCTTCCTCCTCCGTCCATTTTTTTAAATTTTAGCAACACATTTGTTAGTTCTATTTTTAAATACACCTGTTTTATATTAAATTGTATTATTTATTTTTTAATATTTGGGATTTGGATTAGGGAGCGCGTTTATTAGAAACAAAAAAGAATGTTTTCGGCACAATAACAAAATATCAAATTAATATTGTTTTCCTATGGGCAGATTGCGCTCTGTATATATTCGGTTTTGCCGCGTGTGAAGGCGGTTTTTGGTATTTTGATATTTTCATAATAATGGACCATTTGAATATCTTTTACTTTTATTTTATACAAGAATTTTATTATATAAACCTTCTGATATATACGGAACAATAATTGAAAATCAATAGGAATCAGATTCACTCTTGCTACTTCAGTTTTTCGGTTAGTTCTGGTACAGCTTTAAACAAGTCCGCCACCAACCCGAAATCGGCTACTTGGAAAATAGGTGCTTCAGGGTCCTTGTTGATAGCAACAATAGTTTTACTATCCTTCATTCCCGCCAAATGTTGAATGGCCCCGGAAATTCCAACTGCAATGTACAAATCAGGAGCTACAATCTTGCCTGTCTGACCAACTTGCAAGTCATTTGGTACATAGCCGGCATCTACTGCAGCACGAGAAGCTCCAACCGCGGCATTCAGCTTATCGGCAAGATCATACAAAAGCTTGAAGTTATCCCCAGACTTCAAACCTCGACCTATAAATGATATTAATTTGCACCATCTTTCAATTAACAATAAACGAAGTTTTACCTCCACTAACTACAGTTTTGGCACTAGTCAAGTCAGGTCTATCTGATTTGCTCAGTTCCTGGCTAATGAATGTTGTTAATCCTGTATCGCATCCTTCAGCAGATAATTTTTCAATTGCTGCCGATCCTGACCCTAATTTTGAAGCTTCAAAACTTGTTCCCCTTACACTTAAAATTTTAACAGGATCTTTGGCAACCAGCGTTTGTATTGCATTGCCTGCATAAATGCTTCTAACAAATGTATCTGGAGATTTTATTTGAATCACATCTGAAACTGGTGATACATCTAATTTAGCTGCTACTCTTGGTAGAAGTGATTTTCCAAAAGATGAAGCAGCTGCCAATATATGTGTGTATTTAAATTGAGTATGGGTGGTGAGGATTAATTGTGTAAGGTTTTCAGCTGTAAACCCCTTAAATATATCACTTTCAGCCACCAAAATTTTTGAGAGACCCTCAGCCTTTAATAAACCTTCTACAGCAGGTTGACATTTGGTCCCTGCAACCAGTATTGATATGTCGCCTCCTAACTGTTTTGCAGCGGTTAAAGCATTTTGGGTAATGGGTAGAAGTCCCTCATTGTTGTGCTCCGCAATAACGAGCGTACTCTGGCATCTTTTTAAATGATTTGAAAACTGAAAATTGATAAAAAATAAGCCAAGAGAATATCATAAATGAAATTTTGCCATACTTGGGAGGTGATTTGACGAAAAAACATAATAGAAACTATTCAAACGATTAACTCAGCAACACTTTCAAACTTAACTGATTAGAACTTAAAAATTGTGAGATATATGCTAAAAACAAAGAGTTCAAAGTGCAAAATACAGGACCAAAACACAGTGACTTAAAGCAGAGTATATCTTCTTCTTTTCATTAGTTTTTACAAACAGTAAGGCAATAATACTATGGCCATCCGCCCATTAACAGAGGTGATAATTTTGATTTTCAGAGTATAAGATAGAAGGGATGGTCGCGTATACCGTTACGAATGCCATATAATATTTGCGACCGAGTACTAAAGTACTGTCATGGCGATTTGCGATTGCGTCACAGTACTATACTATAGTAGCTTGTAATGGATAACAGCACTTTATTTATATTTTAATTAAAAAAAAAATAAAATTATTTTTTTAAACATTTTACCTTTCAAACGTTAAATTAAATTTAATTCATTGAATTGATTGAATTCATGGCTGAACACAATCACTAGAGGCGTTGAAACTCGTGTACGCTTTTTAACTTTGCCACTAACGGGAGCCTTCCCTTCTATCTTATACTCTTTGGTTTCAATTGCATTCAACATTCAGCAAATACATTGTGATTTATCATGGTCACAAAATCCATACGCGCAGCGTGTACATGTTATTCAGCGCAGTTTCGCAGAGTCTCCACTATATTTTCGATGCAGTGTTGCGTTACGTATACGTACAAAGGTGTCAACCCGGCTAAAAATGTTGGGTAATGGAAAGAAAATAAGATAACAACTCTCGATTAGAATTTTTTAAGCAAACGTGCTGTAAGGAGAAAAAAATTAGGTGGTTGGTTCCCACAGGGTTGCTACTGTCTACGCTTTAAGATAGCGCACCAGAATCTCACGTACGTTATGCATACAAGTTTAGCACACTGACACTTAATTGTCAACTTCGTGAATGTCATCGGAAAAAACAGAAAAAACGCATGTCCCTAGGGAAAAGTATGCGAAATAGTTATTAGAGTGACAAAAATTTGTGGCAGTGAATGAAAATACTATAAAGTGTTTCGCGTTTAATGTGTAGTGGTTTCGCGAAAAACAGTGGTACAATTTTATTTTATTATATAACGCATTTTGACAGTTTGTCACAACATGTTGGTTCTGTTATTTTAAGTATAGTGTGTGGTGCCATGCTTTATTGAAAACAACATGGTTACACTCCATATTGTGCATTTTATTAAATATTGTTAGCATTTATTTTACTATATAACAGACTACTATGGAGACGCAGGTACCGGCCGGGTTAAATAACCCAGATTATGCAGATGACAAGTCAGAACCTGGCACGTCTTACGCATTAGCGGTTCTAAAATCCAACCAAGTAGCAACTAACAATAAAGAAAATATTAACGATCCCAATACCGGAAATTCACCGCCACTACCACAGACTGAAAAAAATAAACAAATAGGACCTGAATTAATTGATGATGACTCTACATTTACACCGGTAGTCAGTCATAGTAGAAAAGACAGAAAAAATGAGAAAAAAAAACAAAAACATTCAAATGGTCTTATTGACAAGCTTGATAAGCATCATGAAAAATCCCATGACAAAAAAGAAACATCCTCTATAAAGGTTGAAAAGGAGAAGGATCTTTCAAGTTCCAGAGATAATCAAGAAGAAAATGATTCCAAAACCACCAGGAAGGTTTTCGTAGCAGCCCCTTTGCCCAAAATAAATCCGTGGCAGGTCAAGAATTCCGTTAATCAAGATATCGAAACACATGCGCCTTTTATATCAGATAAAAGAGTATTGCAACCCAAACAAGAAGTTATTGTTAATGGACAAAATGCAGCAGCTACCAAACCACTGAAGGAAAAAACTCGTCAACGGGTTAGAGCCTTTTTTTTCTGTAATTAGTTTTTCAATCCAATAATTTTTTTCATTGTAAGAAAAAACTCTAAAATTATTAGAGCCTTTTTTTTGCAATTATTTTTTTAATCTAATAATTTTTTGTGATTGTAAGAAAGGTTTGAAAAAATATTAGCCTACTTAATATTCATGAATGCAATTAACATTTTTCAATTTCAGTTACAACTCGATAATGTCCATTAAAAAAAAGATTAAAAAAATTAAGATGTTGTAAAACGGTTCTCTGTTATCTATATCCTTTTCTCATTCAATTTCATTTAGATACAAGAGAAGTTATTTTTAAATTATTTACATTTTTTTGTCACCTACAATGTTATCTGAAATACCGAGATAACAGTCTCTGGCCCTAACATTACTACAATATCGTTTTGATTTTTTAGCCTTTAGAATCGTTAATGCTACTTGACGAAGTTGAGAGGTTTAGTTATATGTTAATCATTTAGCAATATACAGGATGTTTCAAAACAAATGCGAAAAATTTAAGGTGGTGATTTCTTGGTTAAATTAAAGAGTAGTTTGTTACATAAACGTTTGTTCAAAAGCCAACTATTAGGGAGATATCGCGCTGCGAATATGGCGGAAAAAATGATTTTTTTGTTTTAAAAACGAACATAAAACAATAAAATATGAAAAAATTATTACTTAAATTTAGTAAAAAAAAAGATAGGGTTAGTCTAATTCAATGTCCTCTACTCAGATAATGTATTTCTATAATACTTTCGTAATATTTTGTTGATCTATTTTCGTTTTTAAGAAATAAAAAACATTATTTTCCGCCATATTTCTAGGGCAATATCTTCCGAATTAGTTTAGTTTTAGCTTTTAACTCGACGTTTATATAACAAACTACCCTTTATTTTAAACAGGGAAATTACTCAAAACAAAATTTAGTTTTAGTATTGCAAAAGTACTTGGCAAATATAAAAAAATAATGGTACATAAGTTTCTCTGTTTATCTAGGATTGCGAAAATTCTACTCAATTTCTTAGACACTTTGGCGCCTTATTATATATATAATAACAAAATATCACACCGCTGAGCAAAGACTGGATTTTTTGTTTATTTAGATTTAGAATCTGGATTATTTTTAACTAGTTTTAATAATAGACTCATCAGGTTTTGATAAAATGTGCCAAGTAAACAACGATAATGTTAAGTTAGCTGTTGGTGCGACATTTTTGTTTGTTTCAGGCTAGCGATTTTTCCGATATTTGCGACTGGCCTACATTAGGCAATCATCCGCAAGAGGTTAGTTGGTTTCTTAAGTTATTTTAGGCCTTTAAAGATGTTCAATATTCTCTAGCCACAAAGAAGGTCGTCTAGCCCCTCAGCCACATCCGTGCCTTCTCCTAGAGAGAAATCCTTAACGCGCGAGGAACCGATGCAACAAGATGACAAAAGAAAACCTTCCAAGCACAAATGGGTACCTTTAGAAATAGATTTAACCAAGGCAAATAAAAACGACCGAAGAAGAAATAATCATGGCGGTAATGATCATTCAGGCGATGCTCAATCGACGGTCAGCGATGGTGACAGGGATTGGCGGGCTGAAAGTTTAAATACTTACGGCGCAAGACAATTAAGGCCAGCCTCTGCCGCACCACGTGGTCGTTGGCGGCAAAGGGGTGGTAGACGCGTACCTTTCAATAGGCCGGCAAACAGAATTCCCAGTGATCCGGAATATCCTGATATTGCCAATTCCAAGGTGCGATATTTTTGCTACAAGTGGTGTCCAGCGACCTAGAATATAGTCGTTCAAATTAAATTCCATAAGTAGAATTTTATTTTGTGAATCGCTGGACACCACGGTTACTTCTTAAGGGAAACTAAGATGCTACTAATTAATTGAGGTTCCATTTAATTTTCTTATGAAGTATTGCTGGTCGCGGAATGTAAATGTGGAATCCTGTTCCCTTTTAGTTATCAAAATTCGGGGGATCGTTGGACGGCCAAAATTTTGTGGTCCCTTATATGGGTACCTATTATTTTAACAGCAACAATTATTTGAATTTAGAGGGTCCTATGTTGAAGGAATACATTCGCAATCAGATGTAAGTAGGAGTTTTCCTTATACACTCATTATTTTCATGTGTGGATTGGCAACATTAAATATGTATTAATTTTATTTGCTTTTAGCGAGTACTACTTTAGTGAAGATAATTTAAACAGAGACTTCTTCTTGCGAAGAAAAATGGACGCGGAAGGATACTTGCCGGTGACTCTTATAGCGTCGTTTCACAGAGTTCAAGCGCTAACAAATAATGTAGCACTGATAGTGGATGCTATAAGCTCATCTGATAAAATTGAAATGTGTGAGGGGTTTAAAGTAAATACTAAAAAACATTGGTCAGTTTTGTTTTTATTACAACCGCAATCATTGTTTTAGGTAAGACCCAAAAATGATCCGAAAAAATGGCCAATTTTAGACAAAAATGGCGAAAAGGAGGAAGACGTGATATCAAAACTAGTACCTCCCCCTCCCGTTCTTAGAAATTTACATCAGGCCGAAAATCTCAATCCGGATGTTGCTGAGTTTATTCCAGTTGAGAAAGGTATTTGAACATTTCTGTTTTTTTTTTTTATATTTGCAAGAAATATTGTAGATAATAATATCGTTGTTAACGGGCAAGTAAAAACTACGAACCAGTTTTTGGATAAAGAAAATGAAAAATTGAGGAATTCCATAAACGAGGGTGCGAAGAGCGCGAAAACAAAAGCGGAGGACGAAGAGGAAAACTGGCTGGAAGTCAAGAGAAAAAACAAAGAAAACAAGGTAAAGAAAGAAAACAAAGCAAAGAGTTTTGACTACGAGCGGGAAGAACTGGAATTTCACTTTGATGAAGAGCTGGAGAATGTTCCAATTGGACGCCAGAATACCTTTTCAGATCAATGGTACTTGTTCTCGCTCGCGAAATAGTTTTAAGACTGCGCTACCAATAATTTGCAGGGTTTATGAGGAAGAAGATTCAGATGAGCTTAGCGATAGAGATGTTAATAAGCTTCTTATTGTTACCCAAGCGCCTTCATCCCGTGTGCCGAAACATGAAGGTTATGACCGCACTGGAGACTGGACTACTCGTGTAAAAATGTCTCAAGACTTGGAACAGGCAATTAATGATGGTCTCTATTACTATGAAGAAGACCTTTGGAACGACATAGATTTTGTAAAACGCAACTAGGAGGAAGAGGTCGTGTTTCATTGTAATGCTTTCTCCGTTTCAGGATCGTGGTTCTACCGGAAGTTACAAAACTGTTACAATAATCAGCCAAGAAGATTTCCAAAAACTAGCTCCCCCGGCTCGCAAAGTACAAAACCCGGAAGTGCCACCGCCACCGCCCCCGCCGAAGGTGTTTTCCTTCCCACGTCCACCGAAAAAGTACCCGCGGCATAATTGTGTAATTTTTCAGATCGAAACCGCGTCGAAGCCTTCCGGAAGCAAACAGACTAGCCAAAATTCCCGCAGCAGAAGTCGTCCGAAACCCCTTCACCATAGAAATGTGCCGAGATTCTACGCGGTTGTTAAAGACGATAGACCCGACCCGACCACTCCCAGGAAACGGAAAACGAGACACTCGAACAATCCGCCGATGGAACAACACGTCGGCTGGATTATGGATGTTCGAGAGCATCGGACTCGCACGACATCAAGTGGCAGCTACGGAACGAGTCCGAACGATAACCAGTTGGCCACAAGCTATGGGAGTGTGCCTCAATCGCTGCCGAATTTCCAGCATCCGTCGCACGCGCTGTTGAAGGAGAATAATTTCACCCAACAGGCCTATTCCAAATACCGTCAAAGATGCCTTAAAGAACGCAAACGGTACGGGATTGGTCACTCGAACGAAATGAATACCCTCTTTCGTTTCTGGTCGTTTTTCCTAAGAGAAAATTTCAACCGCACCATGTACAATGAGTTTAAGATGTACGCGTTAGAAGACGCGCAGGCAGGATACCGTTACGGTCTCGAATGTCTATTTCGGTTTTATTCATATGGGCTCGAGGTAAGGTTCAGACCGCAACTGTATCAAGATTTTCAAGAAGAGACCATTAGAGACTACGAAAGTGGCCAGTTGTACGGTTTGGAAAAATTTTGGGCGTTTTTGAAATATTACAAGCACGGCAACTATCTTACCGTTACGCCATTGCTAAAGAAATACTTGTCCAAATTCAAGACGATCGAAGATTTTCGCGTAGTCGAGGTAAGTTAGAGGAAGCGGCGGCTTACGGACACCGTATCAACTTCACTTTGCAGCCGAGAATTAACGAAATATTCAAAAGCCAGGGCAAGTACCATCAGAAAGGACGTAATAGGACATTATCTGAAAGCCAAATTACGTCAGGACCAAGTACTTCGCGCGATGACGGCAGACGCCCTTCCGCTTGCAGGTAAACGTTGCGCCTGGTGGTTATGCGACGATGATTTGCGAGATTTTTCTTTTTAGACCCGAAACTTTCTCGGCCAACCATTATCCACAGCCTGGAACAAGTGCCCCAGCTGGAACTGGCTTCAAGTATCCCAGATCTCGTACGCATTCCTTCGGTTCGGGTCGTAATAAGAATATCCATAACGTCCAACGAGGCGATTCGTGGAAATCCAAAGAGAACCTTGCAGGTAAGATTGCCGATGTTCCTGCTTTCTTCAACTTCCCACTGATTAATTAATGTGCCCTCTTTTTACAGGTAAATCGGAGTAAAGCACATCCGACATCTAAATGTCCTATATATAATAGTGTAGTATATAAGGTAATACGTCATATTTCGCGAAACATAAGTAGCCTTTGTAAAAATGTAATTAAAAAGTAAAAAAATATTTGGGTGCCATCGCGTTGCATTGAAAGAAATCTAATTAAAAAAAAAAATCACAAAACGTTTAATATTTTTCTAGCGTGTGTGAGGGCATGTTTTCAACGTCAATTTTTCTTACGAAAATCGCAAAATGGATACGGTTTATGTAAATATTTAGGTGCGCTATCCTAACATCAAAAATACTCGCATGTTGTGAGGCTGTTCATTTTGCTTTCGCATCGTTAGTCAATGGTATATATATATTGTTAAGTGTGCTATTGTCATCAGTTTCTTCTATTGTAGGGTTAGCTGTTTGTTTTACTTATTATTCAGTTTCTGTTTTTTTACAAGGGGGGCACATATTGTAATTTTAATGGATCGATCGGTGATAGTTCTGACAATTTATTATTTTATTGCAATCGAGTTTTAATAAAAATTTGGGAGCTACACGCGAAAAAATATATCTTCCGATAACGTATTAAACTTGGGATTATCATGTTATTTAGGGTTGTTTTTATTTTGTACAGTTAGTAGTCTGTTTGAAAACAAGTGGCAAGGAGTTTTTTAATCCTGTACCGGTTTTGTTATGTATTTGTTTTGCGCTGGCGGAGAGCATTTAATATATATTTACCTAGAAATTTATATAGTATTTTGTTTATTGTTTTGGTGAAATTTAATGCAGTAGACAAAAACGAATATAAAAAATTGTGATATTTAACGGTTCATAATAGTTTGCTCAACTCCTTGCATTTAAGAGTACCTAGTTGTATGATATAGTGATAAGTTAGCTATAGCGTCATGTGGAAGTGTGAACTGAGTTGTCTTCCTATGAGCCTAAAAAATTAAAAAAAAAAAAGAATAAAAGCCGCTAAAACCAATTAAATGTGTTTTGCTACCATTCCCGTTAACCTATTTAAAAGTCATCTAATCTCATCTCAGATATTTCGTTTAACGTTTAATGCTTCTTATTAATTATGAAATTGCATAGGGTATTCGCCAAAATCGAAAAAAAATTGAGGCAAGGAAGTGAAGTTTGACCTTGCGCTTTCGAATTAATGGAAGCTTTCTTTCGCGGCTAAACGGCGTTGAACATTCATTGGCATTTGTTTAAGACAATTTCGAGGTCGCTGGGTGGAGGAATGCGTTGAAAGGCGAAAACGAGTTTTTTTTTATGAATATTGAATGTCAGTGGGAGACCTTAATACGTAATTTCTAATAACAGACTTTCACTTATTATTGCTGGGAGTGATAATTTAGCGATTTTCTACGAAATTTGTTAAGTCCCTTAAAACGGAAAACGACGTCAGCTGTTTGCCACTTCCAGATAAGATTCCGCTATCTTTCGAATTTTGTTAATTTTCGCAAAATATTTACAAAAGTTATACGACGGTTTTAAACCCTCTTTTGTCCCTGAAAATCGGAAATATTATTTATGGGACTGCCTATGATTGAGCGACCCGTTTGCGCAAATGATGAATATGAGAAACAACGAGAAAGATGTTCTTTTTGCACATAATCACTCCTGCAAAATGAAAGCAGGAAGTTAAATTTTTTATTGATTAGAACCTTCATGTAAACGTGCTATGCGCCGCTACAGTTTCTCTCGGTGTTGACACGATTTATGAAGAATCCTGATATGTGAAACATTTAGTAAGCTCTCCAAATGACACAAGAGTTAATTTCTGATTAAAACCGTACAGTTTTAAATCATTTTTTTAAACACTGAATTAAAAAAAAAATTGTTCCAGATTATTTATTGCTCATAGTTCTGCGGTGAAGTATTACTATGTCAAAAAAGAAAGATTATATACAATAAAAACTAGAAATAAAAAATGCTTTCAATTAAATATCAACCGAAATTTATTGTTGGAATTGTTGGTTTGGAATGTACGTAAATATAGGTATTTTTGCCCCGTCGTCTGCTGACTAAACTGAAATACTCCCACTACAGTAAAAAATGACCGGCAACGCTGTACGTTCATTTGTGTTATGTACTCAAGATTAGCGACTAAAACACCAGCTGATTGGTGAACGGTCTCAGTAAGCGTGGCATTTACGAGGCAATAAACGTGGATCCTGTCACATTGTTAACAGTCCTCGCGTGCGTGCCCAACTAAAAGAACCGTACGATGATTTCGCTCGATGCGGTCAAGGAATTGCTCGAGAAAACTCAACAGACTCAGCTCTTAAGATTCTGGGATCAACTCGGCGACGAAGAAAGGTCGTCGTTTTTGGCTCAACTTTCGACGATCAATTTGAAAAATGTCAACGAACTGTTCGGAAAGGCGCGAGACACTTTGCGCGAAAACGTCGTCAAGTTGGACAGCCGCATGAAGCCGGTACCCCAAGAACTGTTCGGGGCGGAACAAAAAACCGACGACGAAGAATTGGACTTGTTCAGGGGTGCGGGTTTAGAGGAGATCTCTAAAGGGAGCGTCGCCGTGTTGTTGTTGGCCGGCGGAGAGGGCACGAGACTCGGGGTAAGTTACCCCAAAGGGATGTACTCCGTCGACCTGCCGTCTGGAAAAACTTTATTTCAAATGCAAGCGGAAAGGATTCGACGAATTTTAACTCTGGCCAAAGAGCGCACGGGGAAAAAAGGCCGCGTTTGCTGGTATATAATGACCAGTGGCCGAACGAACCGGATCACTCGGAAATACCTCGAAGCAAACGATTACTTCGGATTAGATGAGAACGACGTGGTCCTATTCCAGCAGGGTTTGCTGCCCTGCTTTGATTTCGAGGGGAAAATTCTGTTGGCGGAAAGAAATTCGGTAGCCCTGGCACCGGACGGGAACGGCGGCATATATCGCGCCCTGGACGATAATAGAATTCTAGAAGACATGGAAAGGAGAGGGATTAAATACGTCCACATCCACAGCGTGGACAACATCCTCGTCAAAGTTGCGGATCCGGTATTTATCGGTTATTGTATAAAAAAGCAGGCCGATTGCGGCGCCAAAGTCGTTAGCAAAAACGGCCCCAACGAAGCCGTGGGGGTCGTTTGCAAAGTGGACGACAGATTCCAAGTGGTGGAGTACAGCGAGATCACGGAAGAAACGGCGAAACTGCGCGACTCCGCCGGAAATTTAACGTTCAGGGCGGGCAACATTTGCAATCACTTTTTCACCACCGAATTTCTTCGACGCATCGTTAAACAATACGAGCCGGAACTCAAATTGCACGTCGCCAAGAAGAAAATTCCATACGTTGACGAAAGCGGCGACACGATCGTGCCGTCCGCGCCGAACGGTATTAAAATCGAAAAGTTCGTCTTCGACGTTTTCCAATTTACCAATAAATTCGTTATTTGGGAAGTGCCCAGGTTCACCGAATTCAGTCCATTGAAAAATATCGACAGCGTCGGAAAAGATTGTCCCAGTACCGCCCGCCGTGATTTGTTACATTTGCACAAATATTACGTGGAAAAAGCTGGAGGAAGTGTCGGAGAGGATGTCGAGGTTGAAATTTCACCGCTTTTGTCTTATGCTGGCGAAAATCTTCAGACGATAGTAAAAGGCAAATCGTTTAACTCTAGCACGGTTATCAAATCCGATGACGAATGCAATAACACTGCGAACGGACACTTTAAACACTCGCTATAAACACAACCAAACCAAATAAATTTCGTTTATTTGGCGACTGGCAGGTTGCAATAATTATAACAAAATAAATTCAAACCGTACGCTTTCAATGAGTATTCCGTAAATTACGACCGTAGATATTTAAGAAGTATCTGAAAAATGTGATATTTGTACTTAAAAGTTTAAAATTGTTTCGTAGTAAAATATATTTTTGGAAAACATTTTTATATATTATATGTATATATTTAAACCATGGTGAAAGGTTATAAATAAAGTTTCTTATAAAGTAAAAATGACTCGTTATTTTGGTGTAAAAGGGCGGTAAGCGAATAACATATCATAGGATTTGCAATTAAGTTTTGATTTTTGTCGAATGCGCCGCGCCAATTTTGCCAATTTTAAAAAATCGAAACTTTGGGTACTTTAAACGTTCTGTATGACGAGATATTAGAAAAATTCCTCATTTAAATTATGATCACACTAATTTGCATACAGAAGAAAGACGAGATTATTATAATAATAGAGATGGGCAGACAATTGAGATATTAATTATTCTAAGATCAAGTAAATGGAAACGTAAATCGAAGTAAAAATAATATGAAAATAGAAAAAATGTAAATTTTTAAATTTCAGTCATCATGTTTCGAGTAGTCTGATGAACTGTTGTCGTTGGAGTCCAGAGCAATAATAAGGGCCTCTAAAGTGTTTTCTAGCATGTTACCACCTTCCCAAAAACGTTTTTCACATTCCACTGTCTTCCACCGTGATTAATTGTTAATCTTTTACCGTCGATGCTTTGCCTTACGCTTTTTAAATTTTTATCCTTCCATATTTTACTAACGGTATACCAACGTAGTATTTTTTCCCTCCGATACTCTCTAACTGTCCTCAAATATCGTCGTTACTATCAAATAATTTCGTCTTTCTCAATTAAAAGTGATTTACTGTTGTGAGTTTTTTCGTAACTACGAAGTTCTTCTTATCCATAGGTGGAATGAAATCTTCCTGTTGCATTTCATATATTATTTTGCCAAAGGTATATTAAATTAACAGATTTTCTAGTGTTAAGTTATTTTGACTATTGTAGCATTTTGTGTGGCTTATGCTTACATAAAATTGACACAAATGTAATTGAGAGAGTACAAAAAAACTGTTTATGGTTTATTTATGGTATAATAAGAATATATGCACAATAGACGTTGTTATTTTTTAATAGTATTTTTAATAACAGTGCAATTCATTTAACAAAGAAAATAACATATAAGCTGGAATCTTAGATTTAGGGGTCTTGTCCCTCCACCACCGCACAAGACGTCTTTTTTTCAAAGAAAAAAACTTTGTAATACCGCTGCTCCTTCTTTAAAAGCCTTATCACCATTAATTACAAAGATTATGAAGAGAAATGTTTAGCCAACATGCAAAATGCAAGTGATTCTCGAGCAAGTTCAGTTTCAAGCGTTTTCCAAATAGCTGTTATGTATTATTTCATAGTGAGTCAAATTTGAACAATTTTTACAATCGCTCTCACGTCCATTTTTGCAATTTATGGTATTTATCGTATCGTTAATTGAACATCGCAGAATAACTGTAAACAAAGTTTAAAAACATCTTGAGCTGCTATTGATTTCTGGCTCTATTATTACCTTTTAGATCGCATGGAGATTAGCTGAAACAAATTCACCGCCAAGTCGATTAGTAACGAGAGGTAATAAAGTCAGTTTTCCCTTTTTTCCAGAGGGCGAAATAAAAATGTTAACCCACGTTAAACACCGAGTTCGCGTATTCGGTCGATCATGTGTCGCCAATAAAACAAATCACAAAAATGCAATGGTGGAAAGTCGAAACAACTTTCCACGGGATGTCGATTAAGTCGATCACGATTTGCAAAGGAAAATATTTTAGGGTGTATTTATTTGATCGGGGAATAGACAAGCGCGATCGGGGCGCTTTTCGGGTGAAAGGGATGCGTTGGGATGCTGCCCTGACGGTTTAGTCGCGTCGGAAGTTCGGTGCGAGAAAGATCGTGAATTTTCGATTCCGAAGAATTACACGTGGTGAGTTAGGCGTCAAACTCTCCACCAAAAAACTTTCTTCCCCCGCCGGTATTTACTTTAGATTGGCTACCGCCTAGGTTGGGTTTCTTTGTTTCGACTCGTTTTTCGAAAAGCCGTTAAAACTTTCCGCCGCTTGAAGTTAGATATTCCCGTCGAAAGTTTTGTTCTGCACTAGTTTTTTTTTTCAGTGTAATCGGATATGCTTTCGTTGCCGTATATAAGACAATATACGACCGAGATTTTGATTTATCTTGTATTTTTCGCTTTTTATTTACCTCGTTTTCCACGTCATTTGATTTTAACATTTTTGATCAAATAACGTCGTGAATGTAAACTTCCATGTTTTAAAATCGTAGAGATATAATCTTCACCCGATACGCGCAAAATTGAAGGTATTTTTCTATTGGAATTATTTCGGACGGATTAGCGAATTAATCAATCAAACTCATTTCTGAAATTAAATAAACTTAGATGAGTGTTTCGTCGAATCCGCTTGTCAAACGTCGAAAGCTTCCTGTTATCAATTTTCGATAATAAAAGTGGCATTTTAAATTTTAAATACATTTCAGATTCGTTTCCTGTCGATACGCCGACAGTTTCTTAAGCATTTCGGGTTTTCGCAGGTAGATGAATTCTATTTTTGGTTTGTCGCCTGCTTATTTTGCATATGGCTCATTGCTTTATTTAAATCGGGAGACGCCGTTCGCGTTCGACTTAATACAAACTTTGTTTGGGTTAGATGAATTTAAATCTATGATAACCGAAAGTTAGATTCCGCATGACGATCGGGATTAAATGGAGAGAGGTATTTTCGATTGCACTCAGTGAGATGAACGTATCGATTGGTTTCCTGTGGTAATCTGTCTGAGTTACGGTCAGAATAAACTCCATGAAATTTAAACCTTTCCGATTCTTATTTTTATCACGTCGATTCGCAGTTCCTAGTTTTTCGGTGCACTTAATTTCGTTACGAAACTTTTTTATTTACTTATTTGCTTTTGCGAAATACCCTCCGCGTCTTCCACCACTAGCGTGTTTCGCTTTAATCTAAAATGATATTTTACTTTTAAAAAAACAAGTGTTTGGTTCGCGATTCAAGTGCACGTTAAATATCTGAAGCGGTTCAGGAAACTACTCCGATCTTTCCTACGCATCGCGGCAACCACAAAAAAAATAAAATTATGATTATTTCGCTATATTAAAGGGTTTGCTGCTTTATGTACACCGTCAATTAAGATATTTTTCGTTATCGGCTTCAGATTCGGTTTCCGGATGTCTGCTATGGTTTCCATTTTCAAACGACGCAAGATTTATTGCATATAATCTTGTTCCTGAACCGGCATATCCGAGGGAAAAATTAATTTTGCAATATTGCGGAAGCCTAGATACTTGGGCCTTTTTATCTTTCATTTTCTTGAACCAAATATATGGTTCTGCAATGCAGCTACAATTTCGAAAGTATTTTGTGATGTTTCGACGTTTTATTATTACTTTGCCTTCAGGCATTAAACTTTGAGAAGTAAAGTGGCATTTTCTAGCAATCAATCAATGTCAGTGGGATATGACCCTTTTTGTTTTACTCCAAGTGCGCTTCTTCTTATTTTATGATTTTCCAATGTATCGACTAATACAAATATTTCAGCAGGAAGGAGCGCATTTCTTGACCGTCGGTGGATGCGCTCTGATATGAGATTCTTGTAACGAAACAAACGTCATTTCATTAAAATGTGTAAACGAGTGACATTTGATAGGAACTTTTTAAACTTTAAACGTTTCCGTAGAGAGGAATCTAAACATTTTTGAGTGCTTTTAGTGGTGGCATAAAAGGGAACGGAAAACCGGGGGAAAGTGTATAAGTCGGTAACTCAATTAGAACTGATTTGCTCCACTACATTCATTTCCATATAACAATAAGACGACACCTGTTGCGTTTAACCCTGGGGTGGTTGACGGGATCGCGGTGGTGTTATGGTGGAATATTATTCCCGCTCTTCTCGTTGTTCCGTTGCTTTGTCCGCCGGCTAAATTCAGATTTTATGTTTGCCCCATTAAAATGACCGCCAATGTGATTTATTATAACGCGAATTTTTTGAAGTTGTTGCTTCTTAATCCGACCCTGCGCTTAGTTTTAGAAAATTCCTCGTCGATTTCCTTTTTCTCTTTGATTTCACGAATTAATTATTTTCTATGTTGTGGACAATATCATCAAACAATATATGTATTATGTTTCAGATTCCGCCGCAGGGATATGATGGATAGGGGTTAAAATTCGTCAATCCGATGCGTGCCATTTTATTTTTCTTCATTATCGGTGAGTGTCAAGTGCAATCCCGTTCGGTAGCAGAGACCACGCGAAATTATTATGTGCACTCGCATGTGTTATCGTCGCTGATGTGTATTATACGACGGTAGACAGTTTTCCGACCAACAATAGCTCATCAGCGCAAAAATATTTGATAACGATAGCACTATCTATTACGAACGGCTTCAAAAATGATAAGAGACTAACAAAAGTGCGTGATCGAACGCGGTCGACGCTGATTGGCTAGATTTAGGGGCTCGTCCGAGGAGGCCAGCGCCCAATTTAAACGATAAATCCATCTTGCATTTTTCTCCGCGTTACACTGTTGTCATGTCATTCTAGTAGAGCTGTTATAAGCAAACAGCATTTTTCTTTATTCTCTTGTGTTTATGCAAAGTATTTAAAGCATTTTTTCCAATTATGGCGGAATCACTTAGAAAGGGTTCATCAATCAAATCAAATCAGTCTAGGTAAACACAAAATATATGAACACATTCTGTTGTATTGCGTAGTATATAATTGTAATTATATAAATAATAAATACCGATTAAATAAAATTAGTAGTCAGAATAATTTAAACCTGTGCTGTCACTATCTTTATAGCTATTTTTATAATTATTTTCCACTTCACACACATTCTCTCCAATTGCTCTGTGATATTCGGACAATATCATTTCTATAGGATTCAAATCGCAGTGTCTACGATATAATTTTTATCGTACCATTTGGTTCTTAAAACTACAACTAGTTGTTTTTTGAGAAAGTGTCTTCAAAATAAAGGTCATGCTAAGTAAGGAACTCTTGCAACACCTATTTTTCGCTTCTAACCGTCTCTCGGGTCACAGTGTAAATCTGATATCCTTTTTCCACTACATGCAGATACATTAAAAATGCAGTTCGATGAAGAATTTTGCTACTCTTTCTTTATAGTGTGCTGGGTGTCGAAGCCAGCCTCCTCTCCATATATATATTTCGTTTTTCTACGAGAAATTGATGAATGTGACTTAAATATTTTTGTCTCCATCAATCGCTGGACCTCATTAGTACAACTACGCTTGTCAATATTTTAAAATCAAAAATCCATTTTGTGCAGTAAATTGGCCATTTCCTTTTAATTTCTGTTGCAATAATTCAAGTGAGGGAATCTGATTAGTCTGATACATCGCATACACTAAGTACTTATTAACTATTGAGGAAGGCAGTATTCATTTTGCCTTGAATGTTATGTAATTTATTGTTAATGTATTTTAAAAACCTAATGTTTAAAAGAAAATCTGGCAATGGCGCCAACTTTTAACGCAAACTTTTGAATTGCCAAGTGTAAATAGGCTTCGAATTAAACGAACATACTATATATAGCTCATAAAGAATAAACTTTCATTCTCGTCATCAAGCTCGGCCAGCCCAGCGTTGCCATCACATGCAGATTTTCCATTAACCAAAGTATTTTATATACTTGCAATAAAAAAAAATGTTTCGAAGCTTGCTTTTATAGATATTTATTAACAATTTAGTCATAATAAAAAAACACAACAGTAACGTTCAGTACCTTTATGAACCTGAATGAACTATTAGGTGATACGGAGCATTGTCGACAACAATGGTAGATGGTTCACTCAAGTTCTCCAACAGCTGATTTTCAAACCATCCAAGAAAGTTTTCCTGGTTCATTTTCACTTCATTTATTTTTGGCATAAACTTTGGTTAGTTTTAGCACGTCCCCGGTTGTTGTCTTGCCAATAGTACCATTTTGAAAATTCAAACAATAATTTTGGATTAAAGAGTCGGTAAGTATACTAGCTGAAAATAACAAAAAAACTTATTTGGTATGACCTATGCAATGTATCCCAGAATCGCTTCTCAATACGGGGATTTCCGCTTCTTATTATACCTACAGCAATGGTCAAATGGTAAAAAAATTGGGAAAATTCTAGAGGATAGTCTACAGATTTACGATCGGTCAATTGGTTTGGGGAATATCGGCGAAAAACCATAAATGGCGGACTTCAGTTTTTGGCAGTAAATGCAAAACGATTAAACTGACAGCTGTCACAATCTGACATTATTGAGACATTTTTTAAGACGAGTGTGACGTGTTCCATCGTCTTTTGTTATCTGAATTTATCGATTTTTGAAAAGAGCGTAAAATTAGGTCGTAAATATTTTGTAAGTAGGTCATGATTTTATTTGTCACCTTCTTTCCATCTAAAGAGTGTTATGACTTTGACATTAAATAATTCAAAGTATGAAAGTTGTGTTTTAATAGTTAGCACGTTTTCTCTCATTTAAATCAGAAATGTAACAAACAAATTGTCTAAACGTGTTCCAAATCTATTCAAATGAAGAAAAATTTGACATAGTAGCGTTGTACTTGCACTTGCACTCTAACCGAAGACGAGTTTAGAAGAACTCGATTTCAACATGATGCATGCCCAACTGCTCAAATTAGGAACAGTTTGATGACAAAACTATTTCAGTAAATGGTCCAATATCTTGGCGTCTTAGATCCCTGACTTTTGGAGTTACTCATACACACACACATACACACAAAAAATGATGCCTTTATTTGACTTTAGACCAAGCGTTTCACCAAAACAGTCACCAATCATTCAGTAAATATGTATATTAATAACCAGTTATTAACATAATTAGATTCTACATTACATTACTTGTAAATTGTTTGTGTCTCGATTTTATTTTTCAATTCCTATTGAACTTATAGGTTGTTCAAGTTTTAATTGAATTATCGACTTTTTTGTGACTGTTTATCTTTAAAAAACATACAGTTAGTAATTTCCTCAAAACATTCAATGCTTTTATGCGTTTTTTTCTGTGTTTCTTATTAATAAATAAATAAATAAATAAATACTCGTAAACTTTACGAAGTGTATCCTTTGTATCCTTGACAGACATCACTAAAATGGAAATTTAACGCTGGTTGCGAGAGAACAAAACATAATTGAGACATGTCATGGTGCCTGAATAACGTCACATTTTGACAGCTGTCAATATAACCGTTTCGGATTTACTGGCAAAAAATGAAATCCGCCATTTTCGGGTTTTTGCCGGTATTTCCTAAACAATTTGAGCGATCGAAAATATGAACTTTGCTATCGAATGCACCAGTTTTAATACAAAACTTTCCCCCACTTAACCTTTGCTGTACGTATTAGAGGTTTTAAAAGTTTCCAAAATTGTTTAAATAAAGTATAAAATAAATAAATTAAATGAAACAAAGGAAAGGTGTATTATTTTATCTTTAGGTCGATCAAATGTTCCTAAAGAATATCCGTCTCTAAACACGAAAATATTACTAAAATGAAAAACGGAACGAAAAAGGTCTGAAAGCACGTCTAATATTGATAGTGGGGCCACTGTAGAATACCATGAATAAAATATCGTCTGTCGACTGTTTGCGTTGGCGCAATGTTCTTTCAGATAAAGGAAAAGACTTTTCTAACGATAGATAATATATCAATATGCGTTTTATTATTCTCACGGAAATACGGCGTTTTGCTTGGTTTTTATATACGTTGTATTATTGACTGGTTCATGCACACCGATATTTTTGGTTTTCTCATTTTCCCACCCTTCGTTTCAGTTGCTATCAAAATATGCTTATTTAATAATTATTATCTATATTTAATATATATAGAGTCAAAAAAGGAGTGCGAATGACATTAGAATTAACCGTTGAGCAATCGAACGAATTTATAGTCCAAATTTAAATTGTTTGTTTGTTTCAATAAGCATTACAATCTGAAAAATAGATAATTTATGCGCGACAGTGATTTATATTTTAGTATTTCATTGTTATAAAGGATTATTTACTGCTTTGAATAAATGAAAAAACAATTATTAGCGAAAAAAGTGAACATAAAATTGTTGAAACGTACAAGAGGCGCAATACAATTCGAAAATGTTTCGGGTACTTTTATGACATTCTTGTTTCAATTCGCAATAAATTAGCGGCTGCAATATAATGCAGTGGCCGCTGCTAAAATGAATTGCCCACGCTCAATTCAAAATGAACAAGTGTACGGCCTCAGTTTGAAAAACGTAAAGTTCATTAATCTGACCGCGAAAATTAATTAGTTCGACTGTCCCTGTCGCATGACCGGTTTCGCATAATAAATACTTTTTAAAAAGAAATTGAAAAAAAAGCGAAAAATCAGTTTGTCCACGAGATGGTGGAGTCGCGTTTTTAAATGTTTTGTTTAAACGAATGTTGCTTTTCAGGTCAAAGTTTGCTTTAATTTCGTTTTGACAAATTTGCTGGCAGCAGCCGCAAATAACGTTACGAGATTCTACATGAACGAATAAGAAAATGTTTTCATATGAAGATATAGAGTGTCAAACTTAAAAAATCTTGTTTTGCTTTCCAGAAAAAGAAAAAAGAAAACCACTTTATTGCATTTTTTGTTAATATCTTTGACAACCGTTATCCAGATTCCTTAAAATTTGCCAGCTTTATGTGAGTGTGATAGGATGCTAACTTAGCCAATTAAGGACGTGCAATAAATTGTTTTTTTTTTCTCGAAAACTAAGCCAGATGCGAAAAAAATTTAAATGACAAAAAAGTCAGTGGCGCACATTTTTTTGGCAAAAACATTCGGTAGGGTGTCTCGCAAGTTTCGAAATTTATTATACTCAAAAAATACTCGATACAATTTTAAACGGAGTTTGTAAAGTTGCCCAAGAAAGGTATAAGCTCAAAGAGACGAATATAAAGAATTTGGGTGATCAACAATACCTTGTACAGAGTTTTCCATTTCCCGAGGTAACTTACTCGGTTGATATGGTTGTATGCATGTATGCAAACAATGTTTTTGCCACTTTTATCAGCGAAAGTCTTCCCTAGTAATAACGATGGGGATGATATTCTCAAAATAGTTGATGAGGATACCACTGAGTCTGTAGATTTTAACTGATGTTTCTATTAATTCTGCTTCGCACACCTCTTTCATGTATTAAGGATAATTATCGAACCATTGTAAGGAAACCAGTAA